TGTCGATGCGTTGGCAGTTACCATCGGCACAGCTTGGTTTTCGCTTTCAGTCATCATTTTTTTAATTGCTTTGTTTGAAGTTAAAACAATGCAGAACGAAAGAGTATAAACTCAGAAAATCGCAGAACGAAGGAGTATAAACTCAGAAATAGCCAATTTGTTGAGCAAATTGTATGTTGTGTGTTGAGTGTCTTTCTTCAACATCTGCTGCACATATATATAGCAGCAAAANACGACGTGAAATTTAAGCTTTATTTGATGCTTTCACTGCTTATTTGTTTCCCAACTTGAATACTGGAGATGGATATGAGCTCGGGTTGGGGGATATTGAATATTTATTTGCTGCTTATTTATAGCAAGATGAGGGAAAAGAAAAGAGTTTATACTTTATAGTTAGAATATTGGCAATGTGGAAAAGAGGTTTTGTAATTGGGATCTCAGCTTAATGATTGTCATTCTCACTGTGCTGCCGAAGTCTAATTTAAAGTTAAAAAACTGCATCATGGAAGTGCTTAATCACGTGTACTGCAATTGTCTGTCATTGTTGTCAAGGGCTCATTTGAGGCACGCTTAAGCCCTGATGCTCAGACAAGTTCAGGGTAGGCGATTTGCCTCACTTAGGCTGTGCTTCAGTGTGTGCAAGGCAGTAAGGTGTGCACTCCTAATTGCCCATAGTTTCTATCTTGAATAGAGCGGTACTAATATGCTTGGCAAAAAGATATATTACTTTTTAAGGAAATCACCATGAATGAAGTTGTTATTTTTCTCTTGCATTACATATGTATATTTTTTTTTTCTTCGTTGTGCCTTTTTTAATATAAAGCCTTTGCGCTTAAAGCCCCGATAGACCTGGGGAGCTTTTAAATGCTTTTCGCCTTTGACAACACTGTTGTCTGTAGATGATCTGCAACTAACAAATGCTACTTCGGAGGTCATTTTACTTGGTTATTTGTCTTGATTCACCTATGTATAGCTCTTTTAATAGCATGTAAAGGTTGTTGGCTATACACCAGTGTCCAATACTCAAATGCTCCCACCATACTTTTGAGTGGTTCAGTAGGCTACAGTGTGCAGGCTTCCTTGAGGTTCTGTTCAGTTTTTTTGGTTTGAGTTCACTCTGCCTTTTTAGGTTGGTTGATTTTTTATTTTTTTTTTGGTTTCTGATGCAGCTTTTGGAGGTTTTAAAGTCTTTGATTCTTTATTATATTCTTGGCACATGCTGTGAAATTTGATTAAGTAACAAACTGTAGCTAAGAGATTCCTTTGCTAGTAAGGATATGTAATATTTTAAAAACTTGTTTAGATCATAGTTGGGATCATTAATGGTCACTCTGAGTTGAAATCATCATTTTTTTGTGATTATTTTGAGTTTTGATAGTTTGTTCTCTCGCACATTTGGAACAGGGGACTGACTGGAGAGCGCACAGTGAAAAGATTGCGGCTGTCAAAAGCCCTAACAGTACCTGATACTACAAGTATTTATGAAGCTTGCCGCAAGATGGCTGCTCGCAGAGTTGATGCTTTATTGTTGACTGATTCAAATGCATTACTATGTGGTATCCTGACGGATAAGGTTTGACCTGAATCATGCAAAAATGCTGTAGAAAACATTTAGTAGATAGAAGTCTGTAGAGCTGCCTATTTCACTGATGCTTTTCCTATACCTACTAAAGGTGATATCCTTAACTAACTCTTCATGCATCCTTTTCTTTTACTTCCTTTGGGCATATTGAAGGATATAGCAACAAGGGTTATTGCTCGAGAAGTTAATATACAGGAAACACCTGTTTCAAAGATTATGACGAAAAATCCCGTTTTTGTGCTTTCTGACACACTTGCTGTGGAGGCTTTGCAGAAAATGGTGCTAGGTTGGTTTATCTGAAATAACTCAAGTTAACTTTTGAAAGCCTATCCAACATCTTATTTTTGTCCTGACGACAGGAAAATTTAGACATTTGCCGGTTGTAGAAAATGGAGAGGTCGTTGCTTTGCTTGATATAGCAAAATGCCTTTATGATGCAATTGCTCGCCTCGAAAGGGCAGCTGAGAAAGGAAAGGCCATTGCAGCTGCTGTTGAGGGAGTTGAAAAACACTGGGGGACATCTGGTTCTGGTTGGTTTAGAACTTTGTGTTGTTACTAATTTTCACTTATATAGTGTAGGACTGTCTATGTATTGACTGTTTGCCCAGTTCCTGTTATTGGTTGATGTTATTTGATTGGGCTTGCAAGTATATTTATTGACCTTTTCATATTTTCTTGTTTATAGCAAGTTCTAATACATTTATAGAAACACTTCGAGAGCAAATGTTCAGGCCTTCACTGTCTACCATCATTTCTGAAAATTCAAGGTAAATAATATCTTCACTTTTTAGAATAATTTAATCTTCTAAGTAATCTGCAGGTTAGTCACTATTTGTTGTGGATCTGTGGTGTTTCTAGGATTGTTACAGTTGAACCAAGTGATACTGTGTTAGCCACAGCAAAAAAGATGCTTGAATGTCGAACAAGCTCTGCAATTGTAACAGTTGACAACAAACCACGAGGGATTTTAACGTGAGCAGTTTTCCCTTGCATCCACTTGTTTACATTCATAGATTCTCTGCTATGGTGTAATAGCATATTAATCATCTCATGACAAGATATGCGTCATGGACTGTGCAGTTCAAAGGACTTATTGATGCGAGTCATAGCACAAGATCTTTCCCCCGAGTCCACTCTCGTAGAGAAGGTAATCTCTCCTCTTGATAACTGAGGGGATATCTTTGTTTGGGATAACTCTCTGTTCATTATCAAAGTAAAAAGGTTTAAATAATAGTTCTTTAAATAATTAGAAATTATTTTTCCTTTCATTATCTTTTTCCTTCCTTTCTTGAGGTTTGATAGCTAATTTATCTGATCTCTGATAACTTTCATCTTTTTTGCATGTAACATCCAGGTAATGACACCTAATCCAGAATGTGCTTCAATAGATATGCCGATTGTTGATGCTTTGCATACAATGCATGATGGGAAATTTTTACACCTTCCTGTTGTTGATAAAGGTATCATTTACCTCCAATTACACTTTGAGACTGGTTATCTTCTTTTCTAGATTTGCTTAAATTTGCAATTCTTATTTGCGGCAGAGGGAATTGTTGTTGCTGTTCTTGATGTGCTTCATATTACTCATGCAGCTGTAGCCACGGTAAGGCAGCACACACAAACATGTTAATTTCTCCCTTCTCAACTCATCATAAGCAACTGATATCTTTTGAGCTATCATTTTGGTGGTCAATTCACCTTCTGAATTCTGCCTTGTACTCAATTACCTCATTCAAGTAAAAACCTTCCAAGGGTTCTAACTACTTTGATGAGCTTTCCATTTGTCCGTGTACATCAAAAACGTATAAATTCTAGTCTGGATCTATCAAGTTGAAATCCTGGTTACCACTTTGCTAAGGCTGACTTCTTAAGGAAAGTAAAATATGTTGTCAATTTACCAATATTAAGAAAATTCCAATTTCGTTGAATGTTTGAACAGAATACTGAAGGATGTTTATTTTATATTTTATTGCATTTTAGAATTAACTTCGGTCGCGATCCACAAAAGCGATCTGCTCTAGGATGTTTCAAAGAATTTTGCATTTGATTATGACCTCACTGCTAGTATTAATATTCAGCCTTTTATTTTAATTCGGATCAGTGAATATTTCAACCAATCCTTTAGCCGTTATGGCTGATGTTTTTACTTTCTGTACAATGTGTTTGCTGGACAATATGTTTTTGTTCCTGAGTCCTTCGTATTTCATATTGACATTTAAATATTAATTGGTTAAGTTGTCATATTCACTTTGAGTTGGAAGCTGCTCAATAAGCACATGTGCTATTTCTTAAAAATTTATTGTTTCATTAATTGACTAGAAACTTTACATGAGCGTTAAATTTTGTGAGGCATTCTTCAACTATTAATATGTCAAAATCAAGGTAATCTAGGATCTAATTATTGTTAAAGTAGCAAACAACCTTGTGGAAGGCTGAAATTTTATCGCATAGTATTTAATCTTAGTTTCAATATTTAATATGTTAAGTCCTCCTTTTCTCAAAGATTGTGGAGATTTATTTCAAGGACTGTTACTCACTAACCAGGTGGGAAATACTGCTGGAATAAATAATGAAGCTGCAAACTCTATGATGCAAAGATTTTGGGATTCAGCTATGGCATTGACTCCGGATGATGACGAAGAGACGCGGAGGTTAAGGCCTTAATCTCCATATCTGTGAACTCATATTTTCTTTTCCTTTTTAATTATGTCTCACATTGTTTATTTGACATTCCAGTGACAGTTCATTGAAATTGGCTTCTGAAGGGGCAGAAACAGGAAGATCTATTCCCTATCCTTCATCGAGCCAGCCAAATAGTTTTTCATTCAAGATTGAAGACAAAAAGGGAAGGATGCACAGATTCAACTGTGGTATGTTTAGAGAATATGTTTTTAGTTAGTAAAAGTAATTAAGCACTTGTTAGTGCTTCATATATGACCAAGTGTATCTTTTACCTGGAAATTCTTGCTGCATTGGACGAATTAGTTTATATATGCAATTAGGATGCTGAATCATGCAGTACCATTGATATCATGTTAACAGAGCTAAAAATGTGAACCTCTATTTTCTCTTTTTCAGGCATCTTGAAACTTGCCTTCTGAACTGTCATACTTTTCCCAGGGCTCCTGACTCCTATCAAATTTATGGAGTTATGTCCTTGCAACTGTTTCATATCACTTGTGTTTTCCTTTTGTTCTTCATGTTGGTCCTCTTGAATTTCCAGTTTTCCACATTATGCATTGTATATTTAGCCATGCTGTTGCTTATTCATATTTTTATTATTAGAGGGACATTGAACTATGGTTTTCCCATTATTGGAAAAAATTTAAACTTGTTTGTATATATTGTCTGCTGAAACTAATTCTAGGAGGAGAAGTGGGGACGCAAGGGCTATGTGGACCACGACTGCGCAGTGCATTAGGGAAGCCGCGAGAGAGGTATTAGGGGTCTCAAAGGGTTACTCTGGTGACCACAAGGGATACTGGCGGTGGGAGAGGTGCAAGAAAAAGTGGAAACCAAGAAAGCTGCGTATCTGAAGCTAGTGGAAAGTGTAGACGAGGAGGAGAAGAGGGCGAATATGGAGCAATATAAGTTGGCTAAGGAAGAGGCAAAGCTAGCAGTTACGACGACCAAGACTGCAACTTTTACTCGTTCGTCTGAGGAACTCGAGGGCCGAGGTGGGGATAAGAGGTTGTTCAGGTTAGCCAAGGCGCGAGAAAGGAAGGCTCGTGACTTGGACCAAGTGAAGTGCATCAAAGATGAAAAAGGTAGAATTTTGTTGGATGAGGGGATTATCCGTCGGAGATGGCAGACCTACTGCCATAGTCTCTTGAACGAGGAGGGGGACAAGAGCATTGTATTGGGTGATTTGGAACTCTCTGGGAGTCATTGTGACTTTGGGTATTGTAGGCGGATTAAAGTTGATGAAGTGGAGGGGGCTATGCGTAAGATGAGCAGGGGCAAGGCGACCGGGCCGGATAAAATCCAGGTGGAATTTTGGAAGAGTGCGGGCAAGGCAGGCTTAGAGTGGCTCACTAGATTATTTAATGTCATTTTTAGAACGAAGAAGATGCCCGAATAGTGGAGGTGGAGCATGATGGTTCCTGTATACAAGAACAAGGGTGACATCTAAAATTGCAATAACTATCGGGGTATCAAGTTGCTTAGCCATACTATGAAAGTCTGGGAGAGAGTGGTAGAGCTAAGGGTGAGGAGGAGTGTGTCTATTTCCGAGAACCAGTACGGGTTTATGTCAGGGCGTTCGACTACAGAAGCCATCCGCCTTGTTAGGAGATTGATGGAGCAGTATAGGGAGAGGAAGAAGGATTTGCATATGGTGTTCATCGACTTAGAAAAGGCGTACGATAAAGTTCCGAGGTAGGTTTTGTGGAGATGTTTGGAGGCCAGAGGTGTATCTGTTGCCTGCGTAAGGGTGATTAAGGACATGTAAGATGGAGCAAAGACCCGAGTGAGGACGGTGGGTGGGGACTCGAACCATTTTCCTGTTATGATGGGGTTGCATCAGGGGTCGGCACTCGACCCTTTTTTGTTTGCCCTGGCGATGGACGTACTGACGCGCCACATCCAAGGGGAGGTGCTGTGGTGCATGCTATTTGCAGATGATATTGTATTGATTGATGAGACGCGAGGCGATGTGAACGCGCAATTAGAGGTATGGAAGCAGACCCTGTAGTCTAAAGGTTTCAAGTTGAGCAGGACTAAGACAGAATACTTGGAGTGTAAGTTTAGTGGTGAGACTCAAGGAGGGGAAGGGGAGGTGAGGCTGGACTCGCAGGTCATCCCTAGGATAGGAAGTTTTAAGTACCTTGGGTCTATTATTCAAGGGATGAGGAGATTAATGAAAATGTCACACATCGTATTGGGCGGATGGATAAAATGGAGACTCGCTTCCGGTGTTTTGTCTGACAAGAAGGTGCCACCGAAACTTAAAGGTAAGTTCTACAGAGTGGTGGTTAGACTGACGATGTTGTAAGGGGCTGAGTGTTGGCCAGTCAAGATCGCTCATATCCAGAAGATGAAGGTAGCGGAGAAGAGGATATTGAGATGGATGTGCGGGCACGCCAGGTTAGATAGGATTAGAAATGAGGTTATTCGCGACAAGATGGGTGTGGCCCCTATTGAGTACAAGATGCGGGAAGCGAGGCTTATGTGGTTTGGTCATGTGAGGAGGAGGAGTACAGACGCCCCAGTGAGGAGGAGGAGTACAGACGCCCCAGTGAGGAGGTTGACATTGGAGGGCCTACAGAGAGGTAGAGATAGGCCAAAGAAGAGGTGGGGAGAGGTGATTAGGCAAGACATGACACAACTTCAGCTGACAGAGGACATGACCCTTGATAGGAAGGTATGGAGGTCGAGGATTAGGGTAGTAGAGTAGGTAGTC